GGGGGGGGTCATTTTTTGCCAAATTTTAGCTGAAGTTATTTGTGAAGAGTCCTTAATGAAGGACTTATGCATTTTCCAATAAAGTATGTATCCTCGCCATGCCACTCAGAATGACAGCACAAACTTTTGAAAAAATAAGTTTCAGCATTCTGCCACGCGAAGAAAACTGCTGATAAAATGCCTCCATTTTTGTTTTACCGATTCTAATAAATGCTCACCTTTCTCCGAATACACAAGAAGATGAGGCAGATGGTTCCACAGATGCAGAAGATGATGACACTCTGGGTGAGGTTGTCGGACTTGATCCTGTACTCGGTGCCTTTGGCCAGATGATACATGGTGCTGATCACCCAGGGCAGACCCAAGCCCAGGAACACGTTCACACTGTTGCTACCTGGGAACGACAGTTTGGGGGACATGTTTTAAAAAAACCCCAAACAAACATAAGGATAGAATGATTTTTGAGCTCGATCGATAGATCTAAAGGAAACAGTACTCTGTGTGTGTGCGTGTTTGTGATGTGGGGTGGAAAGGGGGGGGGGTGGTTCTTGTCAAGAGCTCGTATTGCTCTCATTCTCAAACCGACTGACCTGTGACATTTCCGATGGCAGCGTCTGCGTTCTCCCCCTGCAGCGCTGCCGTGCGTGAGGCGAAGGTGTCGGGCAGACTGGTGCCCAGGGCGATGATGGTGATGCCCGTCACGCTCGTCTTGATGCCGATCACACAACCCAATAGTTTGCCAAGCTGAGGGTGGGGGGGGGGGGGGGGGGGGAGGTAAATCAGTACAGAGGAAGGTTGGATGGGTGATACGAAAGTTTTAGTCTCTTAAAGCCAGTAAAAGTGAGCACAAGCAATAAAGAGGTTAACAAGAACTGCTCTTGTCTATACACAACATGTCTTGATGTCTTGAGGGTTATAATATATTACTAATATCTTATTTATATTTAAAAAAACATGTTTACACCATTGCTTGTTAAAAAAAACATTATTTCAAATCATTGTGCCTCTATTGATCTCCAAACTCTTACCTGCTCAACGCAAGCTGTCATCATCCCAATAAAGAGCAGTGATAGAACAAACGAAGGCCAAGCACCCAGAACTGTGCTGTTAATGAGGAGAAACGTAGCAAATATTAATGTATGTCCCACATTGACAGCAAAGCCATGTATAGGTTATCCTGTCCTTGAGCATAGAGAGAAAAAGAGGCCAAAATGAAGATGCAACCATTCATATTCATTCTCTCTCTCTCTCTC